TACGACAATAATACATGGTGATATGATATGAAGGGCATGTGGTCCCATTATACTTCTCAAAATATGGAACTTTGAAATTTGGTGGGAGAACTAGATCGGGGACCAAACTTAGCTCTTTGGCGTCAAACCCATAAAATGACTCAACCGTCTCTCTAGATTTTATCACATCTTCTACATTTTTCATTTGTTGGATGAGTTTTTTCTTCTCAACTAATTCATTTGGGTCAGAGATCTCATTATCAGTAGAAAATTCTTTTGGCTTCAACCCAAAGCAGTAGAACAGTCAGTGGGAAACAAGCTCCAGCTTGATATTGTGAGTTCTTAACAGCGAAGTGAACTGGTGATTAAATTTCCTGGTGTACAGAGGTGTGCTCAGGAATGTGAACAGGTGTAACACCCAAATGATTTGTGGGATTTTCAACAAAACTCTTTCCAGTAGTCTGGTGCTTCCCAATCATTTCTTTCATATTATTCAGTAGATCGATATGAGAATTTGCGATATTAGCTTCAATTTGTGCCAACTTGCTCCTCAATTCTTCCTGCCTATCTTTTTTCTCTATCTCAAATTTGGTTAGCCTATCTTCCGTTTCTTTAGTCATTTTTCTTGTGTCGTGCTAAGCGTTCTTGCTACAAGGAAAAACCAAGATCACTTCGGTTGAAATCTTTATTTTAATGAATGAATGTTTTAATACATGTTGTAAGTTTGAAACTATAGATGTAACTATGCAAAGATGCACATGCAAATACAACGATGCAAAAATAAGAATGCAAATTGTGCACTACAAAAGCAAACATAAAACTATAAATGCAAAATGAAAATGCAAAATGCAAATGTATGTATGAAAAGGTGTTACTCAAGAGTGATCATCTTAGAATAGATTTCATTGAACACAAAAGTTTCGTGCATCCAACAAAACTTTTACATGTAGGGGATAGCTTTCAGTCCTAACTTCAACAAAACTTTACATATAGGGGATAACTTTCCCTCCTAACTTCTCTAAAGCCAATTTTAGTCTATCAGCTTATGGGTCATATTGCTTGTCTGGACTGCGGCTTCTTTGATGACATTCTCTTTTTCCTTCATCTTCTGTGTCACTTCTCGAGTTGCTCATTTTCCCTTGTAAGAGAACCTTTCTGTCCAAGAAGTTCTTGGACAAGATCTTCATATATGTTCCAGTTCTTTTTCATTTTGGTGACCCCTGTTATCCACTCTTCTGGAGTGTTTCCTATGCCATCTTTTTGAAAGGCTTGACTGATCTTTTGGAAATCTTCATGCATGATTTCCACTTCTGTGCTCAATTTCTTGTTTTGATCCTTCAAATAACATACTTGAGCTTCATAAAACCCTCCTCTACTCTGCGTGTCCCGACTGATACTCTTACCGTAGACTACTTTTGGTATCAATCTGGCAGGATCTTTGTGTAATACTTTTGGTATTAATATAACAGGATCTCTGTGTGTATTTCTCGCTTCTATCATTGGAGTTTCTTCAGGATGTGTTTTCTTGACCGCGTCATATTTTGTTTGATCATAAAACTTTTTGTCCATTTATTAATTCTTTCTAATTTGATGAACAATCTTTCAAGTAAACACCGTTTGGTTATGCCATGATCATACAATGCAAACAAAAGAAATCAATATAAACAAGTTAGAGCAAAACAAAATGTATAAAAATAAAAATGAGAAAGGAAAAAATGAATTGGTTAATACCAATTAATGGAAAGAAAAGATCCTATCTATCAAGGTATAAATACTAACCTCATGCTTTCTAATTCCATGATTTGTTTGGAAAAATTAACCTAACTGCATGATTTCTAGTTCCATTTTTGTTTGGAAATATTATAAAAAGCTAAAACTTATTTCTCCTTTGTGTACACCTACGGACAGGGTTTCGGTATTATCTTATATTCAGAAGAGTTTCTAGGGTTTACTATATGCAGAGTTTCAGTTCTAAGAGTAAATGTACCCGAATTGTCCTTGTTAGTGCCCCCTTGGGCTGCCAACCCTCAATCCTAGTCCACTACAGACTTAAGTGGATCGAGTTCAATTCGAGGGGACACATTTCTCTATGCCTGACACGGAGAATAAATTCTCACGAAGACATAGAGCATATGAACCCGGAAAGCTACTTGCTAGGTCTGACACGGAGAATAAATTCTCACGAAGACGTCACTTTCACTCCCACTTAAAAGGGACAAGCTTGATTATAAAGCTTATGTTATGCAATGCAAGTGTTTTTATGTGAGGAGAAATATTCAAACCTTTGACAAACAAATAAAAATGAAATTTAATAACTCAAAATAAAATAAAAACAATTAATAAAGAAGAATATAAAAAATATTATGAAAACCATAAGTAATAAAAAATTTTGAAAGAAAAGAATTATAAATTAAATATATATGAATTATTAATTTCCAATTTATAGAGACAATTTATAATTAATTTCAAAGCTTGATCAGTCCCCAGCGGAATCACCAAGCTGTCGTAACCGGTTTTCGCCCGGACACGAATTTTTACTTGGTGGAAAAATAAATAAATAAATAAATGAATGATTTTGATTTAAAAAATATTTTGGGAGTCGCCATTGACCTTTTTGGGTTAGGTAGATCAAATACCTAAAAATAATCTTTTAAAACAGTTTTTAAGAAAACAAATTTAAAAGATAAACTGATCTGCGTATAACCAAACATTTTAGTAAAAAAGGATTCGTGGTCGATTACGTTTAGGGAAGGATTAGCACCCCTAAAACGCCCAAAATTGGTGCTCATTAATTATAAATTATCTCTATTATTAGAAATTTCAAAATTCAAAGATATATTTAATTTATAATCATGTTATTTCAAATTTATTACTATAATTTTAAGAAAATCTATTAATTATATATATATATATATAAGATATTTATTTACTTAGAAATATCTGAAAAGAACTTCTAGGTGTTTTAAGACAGTCTCTTTCTTGATATTAAAAAATAAATAAATATTAATAAAATATTTCTATAAAAATAATTAAAATAAATAAATTAATATATATATATATATATAATTTATAAAAGTAGAATATTTAGTTATTTAGAAATATAAAAAGACTTCTAGTTGCTTTAAGACAACCATTTTCTTAATATTAAAAAATAAATAAATATTTAAAATATGATTATTTTTCCTAAAAGTAATTTATATAAAATTAAATTTATAAATAGGATTTTTATTTAATAGAAAATGAATAAAATAAAAAAATAAATATTATATATATATATTTATATGACTAAATAAGAATAATTAAATATATTGAAAATAAACATATAAAATTAAAATATAACTAAACAATGTCTAAAACAAATAAAATTAAAATAATAGGATTAAAATGCAAAATATAAAAATTAATAGAACTTATAAATAATGATTAAATTATAACATATTAAAATTAAAAGCTTTTATTCAAAATATTATGAAATATAAGTTATTAAAAGTGTAATTTACCCTAATAATTAACAAGGGATTAAAATAAATTTAATAACATTATAAGGGACTAATCCTAATATTACCTAAATATATAGGTAATGACTATAATATAATTAAATAAAATTCGAAGACAATATTAATATGCTCAGAAATGCAATTTCAGTGACTAAAATGTAAAACTACAAAATATAGAGGGACTGCGCATATGGTTTAACCTTTCTGAAATTACATTCAGATCCCTTATCAAAACGACGCCGTTTTGATGAGGGTATAAATACCCTAAAAAGCGGCTCCTTGAGCCATTTCTCTCATTTTTCCATTTTAGCTTCTCTCTCCTACTGAGAGAAAATTTTTTCTCTCTGACTTCTCTCTAAAACTCCACCAGAGTTCCGGCCAGCAACCGCGATCCGGCGCCGACCACCACCGCCGGCTACCGTGAACGGTGGCTGAAAATTACAAAATTTCACCTAAATTGAAGCCTGGTTCTCCCTTGTTCTAAATCTAGGCCTCGTTTTTCCTAATAACCCCTAGATAGCCCTAGATCTAAAATAAACCGAAGGTTTTTACCTTCGATTAAACGATGGTTCCAACGTCGTTTGCTTTCCATCGTGCCAATAGGTAAGTTTTTCTTCTCGTTTGCTACTGTTGGTTGCTTGTGGTTTGTTCAGTATTGTTGTGTCTCTTTTTTTTTCTTGTTTTCTGTTTGGTATTCCCTCGTTTTCGTAGTTCTTGCTCTGTTGGTCTCCTTTTTATTTTGCAAGTTCAATGGCTTTATAGGCCTCGTCGGAGCTCCCATCGTCCGATCCTAAGAGGGTTTTTCGGTGAGTCACCGAACTATGTAGTGACTCACCTTGTAGCTGCGACGTGGGGCCAGATGGCTCTTCTAGAGGCTTGGCGGTGAGGTGGCGTGTCGGCAGTAGGCGTTGGAACCACCTGGCAGAGGTGTTGGCGGCCGCGTGGTGCATCAGAGGGCGGCGGCTGTAGTCCCTAGGGTATCATAACCCTAGGGCTTCTTGCTGGATATCTCTGGACCGTTGGATCTTGCCAGATCCAATTGCTGTTGATGTTGGCGGTTGAGATACAAACCCTAAATGGTTTAGGGTTTCCTTTAAGCAGTTGGATCTGGGCCGGTCACTGTTGGGCTTCGGGTTGTAAATGGGCGTCGATTTGTAATTGGGCCGTGTAACTGGGTCTGTTTGTAATAATAATATATTATTAATAATAAAAATAATAATAATAATAAATAATAATAATAATAATAATAATAAACAAATAAATAAAAATAAAAAGACAAAATGAAAAAAAACTAGTGTCACTAATCATCATGTCTTAATCAATTAATATACCAGAGAGCTTTTTATTTATTTATTTTTATCTTTTCCCTGGGTTATCCGTTGCAATGGTACTGAAGCTTAGTGTTTTCGTAAATCAGGACAATATCCTATGATAGTTTTAGTTACTTTCATATTTTCTTTCAGAGTGAAAATTAGTGTTACTTCATTAGCTATACCCCATGTCTATCTGGCGGATTTTTTATAGGGTCTACCTTTGCCACCAGGCAGATGATGAAGAGGAAGAGGATGATGAACAGGGTTTTCTAGAAGCTTTAATACAAAATTCTTTGAACAGACCAAGGTCTTCAGTCTCAGATGGTAAGCAACCAGCATTTATATGGACTTTTCTTTTCATATCAGTCGAAGATTTTCCCCTTATCGGCATAACTTTGTGATGACAAAATATGTCTAACATCAGGCCAACAGAACTTTATTTCCCTTGCTACACGTGAACCAAATACCAGAAGTCACGTGTCAGCCTCCCATTCTTACTGTCTAACAGCATGCATATGTATATTACTTAGATTTGTCCCAGAGGATAAGTATCGCTAATTTGAGAAGTTCGTTAGCACTTCTGCTTTAAAGGGTAATATGGGTTATGGCTGGTCTAAATTCCAGAAAATGTTACAGGTCAGTCTTTGTAATTGATTGACTAATTGGTACATCTTAAGAATCACTTGAATAGATGATTCTTTTCTCTTTACATATTTCTTCTCTTAGAGGTGTCCATATGTTTATTCTTTCTCATGCTCAGGTCTCCTATTATGTCGGAAAATGAGGAATGTTAGAACTGAAAGAGATTCATCTGAGACCTGGAAGGTATTATCGTATTATTTTTCATGCCCTTGTGCAACGGAATGGTAAATGATTTGGTCCCATAGTTGTCCAATTTTAAAAACATTTGATATGCCACTTTCTAGCCTTCGCCACATGTATTGTATTTGAATGTATTAACACATGTATATATATATTTTTCAAAAAATAATAAATTTTAAATTTTAAAAATAATAAATTTATTTTTTAAATAAAAGAAATATTACATTTATAAAATGTATTAAAGTCGGAAATTAAATTTATTATTATATTAATACTAACAATTGATAGATAGAGAATATATTTATATTTTATTTTACATTTTAAATTTATATATTTTATTAGGATAAGAGTTGACTTACCTTTATCATCGCTTTTATTATTGTAAAATACTTTCTCCCATTAATTTATAGAGTGGTATGTCAGAAAACATATTAGAACTTTAATATCATTCGTTAATTAAAATAACTAAGAAATATTAATTATTTTGATTAAAATATTATCAAAATTAAAAAAAAAATTATTTCAAATTAGGTATCGTCGAAAAACACGTATATATATTATTTATATTATTTTTTGTTATATATTAATACACACGTGTTTGTTCGAGTGTTTTAAAAAATTCCGTCATCCCAAAAAAATATAATTGTTTTTCTACATATTAATAATAAATAATAAATAGAGATTAAGATATTTTTGCAATGATTAATTTGATTATCTTTTTTTTTTAATGATTTTGTATAATTTAATTTAACTCACCAATCACATAACGGCACGCGCCCACATGTACTCAATAATATTACAACAATATTTTTGGTTAAAACAATAAATAATCGAGGGATGATTCATGTGGCCATTTTTAATAGAAATTCCAGTTTCTCAGATTGGAATCGTATTATCATAATGATATGATCTGTCTGACCTCATATATTTTTCTTTATTATACAATTAAAAAAAAAGCATAACTGGTTAAACAATAGAGATGTTGATTTATTACTTTTAAAATTTCAGTGAAAAATAAAAACTTTACTCAAATTTTAATGACCATTTGTGTAGTTTATCCTATATTATTGTTGTTGTTTTAAGAAAGTTTGATTATATAACCTCAGTTGTTAAAGAAATTGCTGTTATTCCTAGATGTCCTAGGTTCGAGCATTAATAACTATAAGACATTTGAACATTTTTATCAAATAATTTGAAATTTTTAAAACATATAATACAATTTATAATCACCTTAGATTAATAAATCGAAAAGGTTTTGTTATAATATCATAGCAATTATAGGCAAACAAATAAACACGATCGAAAAAGAAAAATTGTTAAGAATTTGAGGGTGGAAAGTTAATCAAAGTGATATCAGCATAAAATAAGACATGCACAAGAGATAAGATTTAACGTGGCTCTGCTTGTTAGAACCAAAATCATAATAAACATAAAATTTAACCATGCTCTAATCATGCCAAATCATCAAGAATAAAATGTTAGATTTGCGAAAGTGTACCTGAATTAATTGATATGTTAAAATATTTGAGTATTTCTTTGGTTGTGATCCTCCAAGAAGATAGGTTTGCACTTGCCGTAAAAACTAATAGGTTTGCTCTTGCCGTAAAAACTCTCAGACAGGAATAAGAGTAATACAAGTTAGCATATTTCTTGGGGATCACTACCTATTTATATATATTGAATATTAGGTTAATCATTAAGTATTTATAATTTTTCCCTCATCAAATTATAAATACAACTTATGGTATCTACACTTTAATTCCATGACACTTTAGTACCCATGACACATATAATATAATTGGTTACTTAATTTTGTGTCATACTTCATGATAACATTATACATGTGCCCACAAATATGAATTTTAATCCAACAATCTCCCACTAGGGCAACATATGTTTCTTGACAAATGTACAACCTTAAGAGTTCAAATTTGTTATCATATAATAAATATTCTATAACAATCATGTCCATCAACTATATCCATATAGGATCAAAGCGACCTTTGCCATATCTAGTATGACTAGACCCATCAATGGTCACGTATACAAACACAATCAAATGACATAGATCAATCATGGAGCGTAGCATGGAAATTACATGCAATGTGAACCACACATGTCTATTTCGAACTGGTCTCTTTAAATATTCGTGAGATCAAATTTTACCAAAACTAGAGTGGATAAACCAAAACAAACTTTATTTCTTTATAAAATAACTTTAAAATAAATATCCTTAAACTAAAGTTGTGTTTATAATAAACGAGCATTAAAATTACAAACTCCCACTAAAACTGAATATCCTTAAATGAAATTACACCCACATGAGTAGTGTGCTCATGAAAGACCTTAGGTGATAGTTTTTTTTAATAAGCACACTATTATGAGTTTGTACCAACACGCTCTATAAACACATAATCACTCTGAATTTTCTTTAAGACCCAAAAACATAATGTCTACGTGCTTAGACTTGTGATGTTTCTGCTATATATAGAAAAAACTGCAACTTAGTTGTCACAAAATAACTCAAGTGGTCTTTTTTATTGATCCATAATTAGTAGTTTATGTGACAAAATTTTGCATTCATATTCCAGAAAGTCAGAGTTCATAAACCTTATAATCTCTTAATTACTAGATCTCTGATAAGTGAGCATGTAACCTTTTTGTTCTTAAATATATTGTATGAATCAATTTAGCTTCTATCCAACGATCAATACCCAAATTGCTTAATATCCTAAAATCATACGTTATGTCTGAATGCTTATATACCTGAGTATACATTAAATTATTTATTTATTTTGAAGCATAAGGAACCTTTTACATTTCCTTAGTTTCAAAATCATCCTTAGGGAACTGATCAAGACTAAACTTGGTTTCTTTAGCAATAAGGGGTATTATTTGGACCACTCAAAATATTTTTAAAAGATAGTGTTATAGATCTCACCTTAAAAATATTTTTAATTATGAGATCATAAAACTTTTAACCTTTGGACCACTCAAAATAACCAAAATAGTTGCTTACTATTTTAGAATTTAATTTCTCCTTATATGTCCCAACTTAACTTAAAAGAGAACAACCCTTTGTAACATGTTGTTGTCTCTTTTAAGTTGGATTCTTAACAACTACATTCTTAACAACCTTTCTTCCTCTTGCACATAATGAGAAATGAGCTCATTTAAAGTTCATTTCTCCCTTTTGAGTTGATTAAAATCTATAGGAAACGATATTGAAATCACAAGAACAAGTAATTCTTCAGAAAAACTCGATCTTAAGTGCCTTAAGTATTGAAATAATATGAAACATATCCATAATGTACTCCCTCACATTTCCTTGACCCTTATACTTTATAGACATCAAAGAAGTCAAAAGTGATGTCATTTAAACCTTATTGTTTTAGAAAAATATTTCTCAATTTTGTCAAGGAAACAATTCGTCTTAGTAATCTTTTTCAGATTATGTGCCCCTAAAAGTTTCTAAAATGTTGTGTTTCATGACCACTAGACTAATACAATTTAAACAAATTTAACCTCTAAAAATCCCTTATACCAATTATGAATGGTATCCCCAATGAGAAGTGGAAATTGTTCTTTCCTTAGTGTAAAGTCTATATTCATACAGTCAAAACCTTGTGTAAGGGCATTTTTCCATTCCTTCATATTCATTTTCCTAAGTGCACTTTTACATAGAGCAGATATTGTGGTAGCAATAAATAAATAAATAAATTGAATATATAATAAAATATAAATAAAACTGAAGCTCAAATCTTAAGTAAACAAATAAATTCAAAATTATGGCTAATTCTCATCACAAGATACCAAATACTACATCAATATCAAGTCTTTGGACAATAATATTAACAATAAACAATACTCTTGTTGTAGTAATCAAACATTGACAATAAGTTATGTCGAACAAAAGACCAATCTTCGATTAATTTAATGCTCACATAAAATAAATACCTTATAATTGTCACATGTTATTACCACTGGTGTTTCTTGAAATCCGGCCTAATATTAACTTTTCTTTGGGTCAATTAATAAACACATGAATCACAAGAAACAAATAATCATCTTGATATTTCAAATAAATCAGTCTACACAAAGGATATCACTTTGGCGGCATTTTGTATCAACAAATCTACTAAAATATCCGACTTAGCCACAATATGAATTAATTTATTTCAAAATATATATTCTAATAACCAACAATCAAAACTAAAAAACCAAATTGAATATATACATATATTGCATTAACAATATAAATAAAACTATAGAAATATTGTCAATCAATAAATTTCTTTTAATTTATCTTTCAATGAAATTAAAAGATAACAAAATAATAATAAATTTTAATACAGTTAAACTTGATATCAAAATATTGAATACTCCATTAATATTTCATTTTTTAGACAAAAATATTCACCTTAAGTGACATCTGCTGCGATAATCAAACATTGATAATAATAACATGTCAAGTAAAA